ATTTGATTTGAAACTGTCTCATTGCTATATGTTTATCAATAAAACTTTGAAAAGAAAAAAAAAAACCACCTTCTCCTGATATCCAGAAAATATCGGTGCAGCTGTGAGGAATGAATAGCGATGACAGTGGTGGCGGCGGCAGCAGCAGCAGCGGCATAACACAGTGACCACCTGCACTGCTGTAGTGGGCCGCACCCCGGAGCCCTTCCCATGCCCTACAAATGCGTCGTTCACGCCTACTTCCTAGCCATCCCCAGGCAGGCTCTGCCACCCTCCTTGTCTAGACCAGGGACTTTTGGTACTGATCACTTCAGTAAATTGTTCGCCCTGGGCTACGAAGCTACCAAGCAGCAGAGCTGGTGTTGGAGCCTGGCCCGTAGGCTCTCAAACCTGCACTCCACCTGCTGTCACTGTGCTGTCTTAGGCTGTGGTCACGTGTACCCCATGGTGGTGTTCAGATTTGTTTTGGTGTGCTGGAAATCGAACGTAGGGTTCTGACTGTGCTAGATCCCCAGCCCTGTTGTTGTTGTTGTCATCATTATTATTTTGAGCCAGGATGTTGCTAAGTGCCCGGGCTGGGCTTGGACTTGCACCCAGATTCCTAGAGTTCTGGGGCTTTAGGCATGTGCCACCACACCCAGCTCTAGCGCCATTGTTTTCAAAGTAACTCAATAAATGCTTATTAAATATTTGTTCAGCCTGCAGCATTGTATGGAATAGTGAAGAGAGAACCATAAACTGAGTAAGGGAGTCCACACCTTAAGGTAATGAGTTACAATCTGAGAAAATAAGACTAGTTTGGAAAGGGCTTTTAGAGCAGATTAGAACAACTGGAATATCTGGAAAGGACTGTGGTAGTGCAAAGAGCTAGAAATTTAGTTCTAAAGTGGGTGGGAAGAATCTTTAGGGGTAGACAGGAGGGACACCCCCAAACTAATGCCAAAGACAGTCGAAGTGGCCATCTTGACTGGAGTGAGAAGGTTATGTTAGGGTGTGGAGCATATTATATTTGAAAACACGTGGAAGCTACTCTTCTAAAGAGAAAGAACATGCCTGTGGCTCCTAGCTATGTTTAGGCCTATCAGGGGCTTAAGAATATTAGCCTATTGGCATGAGAGGCCTAAAATAGCTTATTATGCTACATGTAGTAGATGGGCCTCTCCGATGGGAAAGGCCAAGGCTACTTGGGCTACACTAGCTGCACTACTCAAAGGAAACCGAAAACTTTATTTACTTATTTATTAAATATATGATATTTAAGCTGATGCCTTTGTACTTGGCAAACAGTAAGAATGAATATATATTAATATATTTTTTTCACTTGCTCTTCATCAGAGCTTCCTGGGGTCAGTATCACCCTTGGTGTGCAGAGCAGACCTAGAGAATTTCGTTGTTGAATCATTTATCCAGGACCACGTTTCTCCGGTCTGGGAAGTCTTCTTCCACACAGTAGCTTTTCGTGGTTGGTTATGGAGGTCAATTTGAAAGCAGGCCTTGATGAACCAAGGATCAAAAAGACTTCATGAGCCCACCCCTCTCGCGGAATCGCTGGAGACTTTCCTCTGTGTACTCAGCCACCTCCTGTTCAAATAAGAACATGCTAACATGGAGCACTGCACACGCCAAGGAGCTGCCTTAACCTCCAGGAGATGGTACCTCATAGGCCTGTCCATATCCTACATACTTGCATGGAAAGGTTTCTTCCTTATGTCGCTAAAATCAATTTTTGTCCTCTCTCAGCTGGCTCTTCATCTGCAGAGTGCTGAAAAGTTGTGTTATCACAAAGAAGCACACAAGGCCACACAAAAAACAAAAGTGCTCCTTTATTTTGGCTAAAATTATTGTCAAAGAAATCAAGCAAATAAGTTTTGGCCCAGTTAAACCAAAAGGGAAGGGAGGTGTGGGTGTGGACAGGAGGGGGGGATATTTATACACCCACTGTGACCGCAGCCATCGGCTATGTGGGTCTTAATTATGTCCACTCTGTGTTCCCTCATCTTCTGATTTCTTAAATTCCAAAACTAACCCAGAAAAATATTTTCTGATTTTCCTTCAAAAGCAGCACTATTTGTGCCTGCGCATTCTAAAACTGGCCTGTCTGATTCAAAACCTAAATATAAGCTGACAGAAACCAGCTGCTGACAAATTAAGTTAATAAATTAGATGCCTAAAATACATTGTATTTAAACAAATTAACTAATTAATTTAATTAAATACGTTGTTTTGTATTTGTTTTTTCCTGGACTCTTTCCCCATAGTTGCTAGACCCGATAGACTAGAGCAAGCCTTTGTCTTCACACCAAGCCCTTTTTTGTGCCTTGTTGAACTTCCTAGAGAGCCCTTCCTGGGAATCCTCTCCAGAGCTGTTGCTCCCCCTAGTGGCAGCCTCCAAGCCCTCACTGACCAACCTCACCCGTGGCAACAGTAAGAGACACACACACCACCCCAAAAGAAGGATTGATGCTGTTGTAGATTGTTTGGAAAAGAAAAGGAATATCCAAGTGAGCAACTTTCTGATTACAAAGAGAAAGCGCAACCAGACAATTAAATTTTCTGGTGATCCACAGTACCATGGGGCTGGGGTGTGAATCCAGAGCGAGAAAGCCAATTTCGTAGCCTAAGTCTACCTCCACATAACTGTTCTCTTGAGCTAGAGGCCCCAGTTTTATGAATATAAATCAGTATAATTTACAAATATACAAACCAATTTAAACCTGGTCCCAGATTTTGTTTCAGGACAATAGTTAAGACTTCTGCAAAGGAGAACAGCACAACTTCATTATCTTTGCACGTTCAGTTTGCAGAACAGAAGCCTGTGGATGCCGGCTCTCGTGCCCATGTTCCTTCCTCTCCAACACCAGCGTCCCCTTGCTGATTAAGTCCTTGTGATTTTGCGCCTGTGCAGGGGCTCCCTCCCTTCTCTTCACCAACTCTGCAGAATTCTTTTTCAGGCTTCACATTGGGACAGAAAGCATCACAGCTTAATTTGCAATGCCAGTTCCTGTACGAACCGATGTAGTTACAAAAGCTAACCTATACCCAAGATAAAACAAAAACGTATGGTTCAGGCCCAAGGCTGGGGTCCAGGGGGTGGTAATATCCTGTGCATGAGACCAGGCTGGTACAATATTTCTACTTAAAAAATACATCTGAATATGGATGTGTAGTAAACTCGAGGAGACTGCCCAATACCATGTGCCCCCGACTTCCTCATAATCTCCCCATCTCTTTCCCCTCCCACGTTTAATCCACCATCTGTGACATCCAGTACTGCTAACCAGGGACACCAAAGTATGGCTCAGAAGTTCCCGTGTGCCTAGAGTAACAGTTTCCTCTGAGCAGTTGGAAAACACACTTCAACTGGGTTTTAGCAGTTGATAGACTAGAATGTCGGAAGTGAAGCTTTTTGCCAATGACCATTACTTAAATTGTAAAAAGACCAGAATAAAATTAAGAAAAGCCTGTCTTGGAGCCTCCTGTTGTGGTATTAATAATTCACAAACACTTTCTGAAGGGAAAAGAGAGAAGCTACCAGTTATAGGGAGGCAACTATCCTAATAGGGGACTTGGCAAATTTTAATTTCTGCCCAATCAGCATGCTAAAATTGAATAGCGATCTATGAAGCTCGGTCATCCTAAGTCCTGCTCCTGGGCCCTGCTTTCGTGGTTAAAACACAGTCCTGAAGGTGCCCTGGGGAGCCCTCCTGCCCCCGGTATTGAATGTCTGAGGGCATCGGCTGACCTGACCGGGCCTGCATTTCTTTCTGTCGCTCCAGGATTCTTCTACAGCCGGATGATTCCTTACAGATCCTGGCACCAGTGGAAGCTGACGTGGGCTTCTATACTTGCAATGCCACAAACGCCGCAGGACATGACTCCGTCTCCATTGCCGTCACATTAGCAGGTAAAAAGAAAAAACCCACTCAGTTCTATCACAAACCCTTTGTTGAGTGCATGCGTGCAATGTGCCAAGCAGGCCGAAGTACAGAGGTAAGTGTTGCAGACTCGTCCCGCACAGAGCTTATAATCTATAACGGAGATGAAATTTAAAGTGTGAGACAGAATGAAGTTAGTGCTATAATTGATGATTAAACAATATGCAAATAATTTTTTCCAGCTGGGAGAGCTGAGACTTGTGGTAAGTAGAATTTTGGTAAGCAAAAGGCAGGCCAATGTTCTGGGCAGAAAGAACAACATGAGAACAGGTGGTGTCTGCAGCTGAGGCGCACTGGGCGCTGGGAGCTGTGCTCGTCCACTGGATTCCCCGGCTCGTCCTCCCATTCATGTGTTGCGGGGGGCTCCAAGCTGAACAGGAAGTGGGCGTTCTGCGTCCGTGCTTTGGCGGGCTGTGTTCCCTAGAAAGCCTCTCTGATTCTGCTTCCCTTCAACTGCTGGCTTGAATCCAGCCGCCAACACTTGGCCTGCGCTCAGAGAAGTTCACACAGCATTCTGCACGGGTGATCTGAGAACACGGTAGCTCAGGGCACAGTGTCCCCAAGGCTGTGGTCCCATAGTAATGTGCTTTTATAAACCTCTGCACGTATAGGACAAGTCCATGCCTTTGAGACAGGAAGAGGACTGGGGAGATAGCTCAGTAGAATAGCGCTTGCCTGGCAAGTGCAAGGGCCTGAGTTCAATCCCTGGTTCCAACACACACAAAAATAAATAAATAAAAAATAAACAAAGAAAGTTTTAGAAAAGAAAAAGAAACAGGAAGAGACCTGGGATGCCAGCTGGGTCAGTGCCCTCAAAGGCTGGACAAGCTGAGGTCACATAGCTGCCCAGCTGGTGGTGGGGACAAGAAGGGAACTGAGGCCAGCTAACACCCAGCTCTCTGCCTCATTGATCCTACTAAAATAAGATCCTCTTTCTCAGAGCGAGGCCCCACCGTTTTTGTGCTGGTGTTGCATGTGTTTGTATTTATTCTCTTCAATGGCTGTTCCCTTCCAATGATTCAGTAGATGCTGCAAACACTAACATCACCCCACACTGACCTCATCTGTCCATGCTTGGATTATGTTGTCACACTGTACTCCAGTAACACGTGCTACTCCCGTGGATATCTGCTTAGCAACAGCATTTCTGCCCCTGTGACCCAGGGCTGGTCTGGGAAAGGACCTTTAGCAGGCAGCTTTGCAGGGAAGATGAAAGTAAACAAGGCGAGCTGAGGGGCCCTGGGATAGATTAAAGCGAAGTTATGGATGCCTATTTGTCAGTGGACAAGACATCCACTCTCCTCCTAATGTATTCCAGTTGCAGTCTGTATTCCTGCTTTCTAGAGTCCAGATGCTCAACCCCAACCTCATTAAATCTCTCCCGCCATCCTCCCACCAACCTGCCCTAGCAAGGGCATCGCTGACATCCTCCCGGTTGCTTGCTGATAGTGGCTCTCCCAGGATTAACTCTTCAGCTGCTACTCATTCAGCTTAGGGCTCAGCTCTGCCACAAACTATCCTGTGTCCACCCAAATTTAATAGGATTAATGGAAACCTGCCCAGGATGAACTGAGGCAATTGGAATGCCAGGCTTGTCTTCAACTCTTTAAAGAGGAAACATTGGAAGCTGCCAACAGGTTCAGAGTGAGGAACGAGAAGCAGAGCAGGGAGAGGCAGCGGGGCAGGGGCGGCCGCGGGCTGCTGACTGGCCACAGACTCCACAGCCAGGGCCCAGAGAGCTGGGACGCTCGCTGCGCTTCAGCTGCTGAGATCTGTTGGCGCCACTGGTGATCTGCCCTGGGGACCCTGAAGGAAGGCTCCGCGCGTGTCTGATGTGTGAGAAGGCGTCTGCACCCTTCTCTGAAGTTAGCATCTACACCTGGGCGACGTCTGTGCACAGGGCTGGGGGCTCCTGGGCTGCTGTGAGGGGCGCTCTTGCCAAGCATTCTGAGGCGCAGTGACAAATGCCACCACATATTCTGCTGTGTGTTGTCTGCAGATCCCCAGGAGCACCGATGGATCCGTGACTCCCTGGGAGCCAGTTACTGCAGTTACTTCAGCTGTGTACACCACGATCTTGCTCAGTGGGATATAAGAGTCAGCCAAAATATAATCTAATCTGAGGAGAATGGCTCTTGGGCATTTAAATCTTTCCACTTGTATTGCTCAGTTAGCTGTATGATCTTGAACAAAGTGCGTAACCTCGTTAAGTCTTAGGTCTCATCTATAAGAAACATGAAGTTAGTAGTATTTTACAGGGTTGTACTAAGGTAAAGAAACCTGAAAATATGGAAACACGCTCAACCCAACGCCTCGCGCAGTGCCGATGAACGCTAGGTTCCTTTTCTTTCTCTGGATCTTCTAAAATTAAACGCAGCCTGAAAACAGCTCTTAGATGTGCAAGAGATCAGCCTCTGCGTTAATCGGCTTTTCATCACCATGATCATATAGGAGAGAGACGGCTTTAAGGAGAAAAGGTGGGCTTGCTCTGTGACCTCCCAGCTTCCAGCCCGTGGGCCATGGGCTCCATTCCCGTGGGCATGACGTGAGGCGCAGAAGCTGTTCCCATCTTGGCAGCCCCAAGAAGGTGGGGGGGGGGTGTCCAGAGGCTCGAGCTATGTCCAGGGAGCCGCCCCCAGAATCGGCTCTCTCAGCTAGGTTCTGCTTCCCGCTTCTGTCACCGCCCAATAATGTCGTCGTTGACGATGCCCCAGCGCTCAGGAACCAGGCACTTCTCCGAAGCGCGTGTCACCCAAGCCTTCCACACAGCCTTGGGAAATGGCCAGCCTGCAGGAGTCTGTCTTGTATTTTTCAGTCTGAGTCTTAACACTATTTTTTCAAGTATGGACTTAGTAAATTTGCAGTCAAATCCTCATGATAAAATCTCAATGTTGCTATGTTTTTAAGGCAATTACACTTTCACCTGGGCTTGAGTATAAATGCAGGCTAAAAAGGAGAAAATTTTGATCCTAAGATAATCGAGGGGCCAGCAAGATAGCTCAGCGGCCTAAAGCGCCCGCTTAGGCAAGCGCCAGGGACCGCAGTTCCACCCGCGGCACCACACCCTGCACCAGCCCCAGCCCCAGGGCAGGCTGAGCCAGCCAGAAAAAAAAAAAAAAAAAAGATAACCCAGCATCCCGTGATTTCGTAAGAAAAGTCCGGAGCGCAGTCCTGCGGCTGTGCCTGCCTGAGCCCGTTGCGAGAATCTGATCTGCAGCAGTGGCGCGCAGGCGTCACCTGGCCCGCGGCCGCAACCTGAGTGTGAGCTCGGAATCCAGCTCTTCCCAGCTGAGCTGCGGAGCTGGCCGCTTCTCCAAACTTGCTGCTTTCACGCCTCTCCTGTGAAGTGGCGGCGACAACCCGAAGACGGAATGGATTCATCGCGGAACGCTTATAAGCGGGCCTGGCGCTCAGCAAGCACTCGGGATTGGTTACTGCTGTTGTTCCTCTAGTAGGGAGACTAGCACGGAAAACTGGGGGCGGCTTGCTCTACCACGGGAGACCCCTCCTCAGCCACCGAATGCGCACCGCCCTCCTTTCTCTCCCAGACTTGGTGGCAGCTGGAGCCCGCAGGACAGTGGATGGGGCACCGGGGTCCGGCCAGAGCGGCAGCCTGGAATGGACGGGAGGCGCTTCTCGAGCAAGCCCTTGCCCTGGAGTCCCTGGGCTCGCGTGCCGCCCTTCCCGCCTCTCGGATTCCTGCTTGCTCTCTACACATTTTTTCTTGGGGTGTGAAAGCACTGTTTAGTTTCAGGCACAGTGATTGCAGCAAAGTGGCCCTCCCTGCCCCGCCCCGCCCCGCCCCGCCCCGGCCCAGCCTGCCCTGCCCTGCTTGGGCCTACAGAACGTTGTCTTCACGGCCTTTTTCTTCCCTCCAGATTCGTCCATATGTGTTCATTTTATCTGTATCTTGTAAAGCCTCAGAAATGTGCACTCCCTGCAGCTGTCTCAGCTTGCGCACGCCTGGGTGCCCTTCTGCCTCTCGGGCAGCCCAAGAACCCGGCAGCGCAGCCGTGTAGGCCTGAGCCGCGCACTTCCCCTCTCCGTGGTTGCTTAGCCGAATGCCTGTTTCACTGCTCGGAGCAGAGATTGGAGAGGCTGAGGTGGAAAGAGGACGAAGGGAGAAATTTTTGCACTTTTTTTTTTTTTTTCCGGAACCGGGGATTGAACTCAGGGCCCTGCACTTGCCAGGGAAGCGCTTATTCCACTGAGCCATCTCCCTGGCCCCAAAGGGAGAAATTTTTAACAGTGTCGCCAGAATGCCACAGGCCTAGCCTTTGAGTACTGCTCACGTTTTAGACAGGATTCCCAGGACTGGATGAAGAGCAGGTTTCGTGGACAGAGATGAGAGGAGGGATGGGGCAGCCCTCGGCGCAAAGTCAGCTGCAGCGACCCCGAACCCAGTGACGTGGGCAGAGCTCGGAAGGAAAGCAGTAGTTTCCAGACAAACTGCTTCTGTCTGGACGAGCGGCCAGTGCAGGTGCAGGCGCTCGCGGTGTGGACCCCGGCGAGGTCAGAGCCACGGGAGCATGCGCGGTTGCCATTGATTTGATACAGTCACGAAGGGTTATGGAAAGCCTGGCCGGCCTCATCAGTGGAAAACGAGAAGGTGAGGGCTGAGGGACGGGGTCTTCCACTGAAAGGACACAGATAAGCCCGTCGGATTTGTCACAGGAGAGGAGAGACAGAAAACGTCTCCCTTTCCTGGTGTGCTTCTGTCATGTTTTGTGAGCCTAAGAGCTGACGCGTGTTGTGTCAACTAAAGAGGCTAGAGAACTTCACTGGGAAAGTCATAATAAAAGGCAGAGGGTACATACGTATATTTTCTCTGCTCTTCCTCATCATAATGTAGAACTATAATAAAAGATGAGCCATTTTGTAAGATTCTCAAAATGCAAGTCATTCTGAAGTGACGTCTCTGAGTCCTTCATCTCCTAGCCCTGCTGTCTGCAGCAGAGCTTTGTCCGCA